CGTTATTTCGTCGTTGTTATTCACTGGAAGAGCAGTCACATTGGTATTTTCAACTCGAAATACTGCTATATCATTGCCTTTATTCACATACTTGCAAATATATTTGATGCTCTTCTTTTAAGGGCATGCATAAGTATTAGAGTTTAATATGACTTGTTGCAACGTGCGTGAATATTATTTTTGATTTATTATGTTTCTATGTCTAGTTTGGATCCGAATACGTTTAAATAAAGATATATTTAAAATATACGTTAAGTCTGTCCAAAAAATGAAAAACAATTAGATACAAACCATTCTCGAATCTTTCTGAAGGCACACAGAAAATTTCATTTAAATCGATCCATCCGTTTAGGAGGAGTTCAGTGACATACACACGAACAGACGAAATATATATATAAAGATATATGTAATAATAATAAAATTTACAATATAATAACAGATTAATAGCCTTCTTAACTTTGACTAAACTTTCTCGTAATCTAGACGTGAATTTGTTCGCATGAAGTTTGTACCTGAAAACCACGAATTTCGTCTTAATTTCCCCTTTTATTCCGATTCACTTTTTCAAGAACCGGTCATTTTAAGTTTCTAAAGGCATATTTGCATTAGAATTGTCAGGAGTCGATATCGGCTCTCTAACTTTCTCCAAAAAAAGACCGCTATTTGGTGGTGGTCTGATGGTCTTGTCATTCGTAAGAGCAGACTGACCTTTATGTATCAGATAGAGGTACTCTGACAAGTCAGTGGTCCAGGGACGAGATTCTTGAAGCTACTTAGCTGCCCTTTGGCAAATTTGTCATAGTCACGTTTATATTAATTTTTGGCAACAGCTTAAATTTAAATGGAAAAATATCTTGCCCATGGTAAGCATAGAAGTCCTTATGGCATTTATAAGGCAAGACATCATACGCCTATGGTCACCATAAGAAATTTGTATGGCATTCACATGGCAAGACACCATAGGCCAAGGGAAACCATAAAAATGTGTATGGTATTATGTGGCGGGACACCATTGTCTTATGGTATGATTAAACGAAAGTACCAAAGTTGTGTGGAACCCACTATTTTCATTGATTAACTTAATGAAATTTATATTAATTAAATATGAAAGGAAAGTTAAACATTAGATTTTTCTTCTTTAGCGATTTTACACTGAGTAAAATACATAATTTATACTACTAAGAATATAAATACGGAATTCAAAATATGTGGAATTAACTTACTCCGTAATATACATTATGTTTACAGTAAGTGGGGTAAGAATCACAAAAGATAGTGCGATTTTCAAAAAATTGGCAGGAACTGCTTTTTCTTTCACAATATACCTTTCTTCGAATTCTGAAAAAAATATTACATTATTATAATCAAGGAAAAGTAGGATTAGGAAAAATATCCTCAAGATTGATCAATAATTAATGATGCAGTAGGAGATTTCAATTATTAATTCTAAGTTGAGGCTGTGGATGTTGTGAGCTCTTGATTTAAAGTTTCGTGGTATAGAGTCCTAAACTTGTAACATTATGTCAGTCCAGGCATATATGTTACATGTTGAATACCGGTTCTTCGAATGGGGTAAAAACTCAAATGCTGACACGATAAAATTAGCTTTAAAAGATCCGAATTTTTTATTGTAATATTATTATGGTTATTTTTTTTTCTTTTCAAAAGGCTACCTTCAAACAATGTTATTTACAAATAGGTTTTGCTAATTTTTCAACTATAAATCATGTAGTTTTCAAGTATGCCAATCGTAGAAAATCGAACGAAAACCAAAAAGATTCATTAACTTAGTTACGACTAAAATATGTTTCATTAACTTTTTATGTTTGAACTAGTTTTGAATTTTAAGAAAATCATTATTGTTTAGAACAAAAATTGTTAGCCTATTTAAGTTGACTTTTAGAACAGTGAGCACATTCTAGCTGTCCAAAAAGTTTATTAGCCTACCTGTCAAAAATCAGTTAAGGCTGAACTAAGTTTTATCCAAATTTTTCTAAATCTGAGCTATTTTTAAACTAAACTTAGATTTGTACCACGAGACGTCCTCCTTTTGGAGCTTTTGGTAAGCCAAGTTGCGAAGAATTTGCTGCCCAACTGGTCAAAATGTGTTATGGTACATGCAAACATTACTTATTCTTTAGTAAAATTTTTAAAAATTTTAGATAATTATTGATTATAAAAAGTATTATACGAAACTTTGTTTCGTACGTCTTTTACGAAACTTTATTAAACCAAAACTTTCAATAGTTTTCCTACCAAAAATGTATCGTCAAAACAAATTTTGCTATTTTTTAATTATTTTTTCAGTTATATAGTCAAAACAATTTTTCCAAATTTAAATAAACGCTTTTATAAATTTTAGTTATTATTTACTTTTTCAGAAAATGGTGTAAGCCACTTACTCATTATTACTGCAAAATGTTAGTGCTGGCTGTATAATTTCATAAGGATTGCTGCTTTCAACGGTAGAAATTGTAGGGTAGGTCCAAAAATACTGCAAAAATCTTCCTATTTGATACAAAAATCCCATTAAACAGAACAAAAGTATTAATATTCTTAGAATTCTACTTTTCCACGTCTCAGCAGCAGCAATTTGAGGTATTCCCGGCACTGATGAATTTCTAAACACAGATTTTGCGTGGTTTTTAAACGCACCAATTCTTGTCTTTTTAGAAAATTTGTTTCCACATTTTCGATTATTTTCAGCATCTTGCGTCTGAAAACAAAATAAAAGAAAAGTGATAACTACGGTAATTTTAGATAGTGCCGTGTAAGTTTCACAATCAGCAATAATAATAATACAAACTCATACTACTTAGAATAATAATAATAAAAGGTAATTTTAATTAAACAATGTTAAGTAGGATTGTTCAGTCTTTAAAAACGAGATGCGAGAAACGGACATGAGAAATAAAAAGTACTGTTTAGTTCCATATGCACCCATCTCAATCATCATGGTGTTGAACAATTTTCACGGTTTCTTTGCTTGGGTTTAATTCCAGTGGTTGGAACATGAACTTTGAGAAGTGTGTGGGCATTCAAGACAAGTCTGCTCTTCAGACATTATGGCAATATATGGAAAAAAAAGCCTATTTCTCTTCCTGTAAGGTAATTCGTCCATTCACATATCAGGAAATGTGCAGCTATGATTTGACAAAATGCGTATTCAAAGAGAAGACTCTACCTATCAGAGCCCCAATTGGATACCCAAAGGACACATACTTAATACCTAAATTACTCTAAGGTTCCAAATTACCCATTTTAATACCCAAAAGTGCTATAGAGAGTATATTATGTAGCGATTCACATAGCCCTTACAAGAAAATTAGGTATTTTTGAAGTTGACAGGAGTAAAATAACACTGCTGAGGTAAAAAAATGAGGTTAAGTTTTGTACCAAAAATAACCTCCTTAACAAACCTCAGCTTCAACCTCATGTACACCTTAAAAAATCAACCTTATGTATAACTCAGAAATATTTTTAGTTTTGATCCGATAAAGTTTTTCACACCTCAAATATACGTATTTGCTTGAAAAGTTGAAAAAAATAATCCGTACACTTCAAAAACAACCTCCCTAAGCTGGTTGCTGTAAAGTAGATTTCCATCAACCTCATACACCTTTAGTATGCAGTTTGGAGGATTAATCCTTTAAGGTGGTTCTTCAAATCAACTTTGAATAAACCTCAAATCAACCTTTACACCTCAAAACAATTTCAAAAATACTTTAAATTTCTGTAAGGGTGACCATCCTTACTGCAACACTCACTGCAACCGTAATGAAGACCAGAGAGTCAATTTCATACTGTTACTCAGCAAAACATGGAGGAAAGTCTCCCCTACCATCTTCAGGCTACACTAGATATAAAGAAGGGAACAAGCATCATTTTATTAAAACGAACTATTAAAGTCATATATTTTAACATGAAAGTGGTTAGGGCATTTCGATTCTGGGCTGCGGGATACTCATATCGTGTAGATCTTCTGCTGTCATGTTTAATACCAATACCAAAAGTAATACAAATATTACATTTATGTTTGCTTATATTGGCCAGTATTTCAACCTTTCTTATCTTTTCAAGGGAAACGTCTTTTTATCTCTGTTTTCTGACAGAAAGGAAAATTTAGTAGCTGTTATTGCTGCAAAATTTACAGGATTACGTCAATCAAATATGATTTTAATCTGATAGTATACGAACTTATTTTAAAGTTATTGCCTGAAATTGGCAGTATTCCAGATTCGCAATCATTGGATTGGGCAATGTATATCAGTCACCTAGTCTCCCCGATCTTTCTGTTTAGAGATCATCGATTATCTCGTATGGAGTTATTTGTGGGTTATAATTTTAGAGAATTCAAAAATTTCGATTAAGTACCTTTTTGTTTTATTTATCGTTTCAGCTTCAAGCGTATCGTCAACTGTGGTTACTTCAAACCATCTCAGTTACTTCGCAAACATTTTTTATAATAATATGGTACGCAAGCAGCAGTGTCTGAAAGAGTGTTTTAATGCTCTAAAAATTACAAATATTTTTTCGTAATGATAAGTATAGAGACAAGAGTTCCATTTACCGATGGCTTACCAGTGCAAATTCTATGAAATTTCCAAGTGACTACAAGCAATCTATTTTACGAAGCAGGAAGCGTAGGTATAGTTGGTACGTTTGTTGGCAAGATTGTCAAGTTGATTGGTTAAATTGTTTGGTACTTTTAAGTTATTTAAATTTGAGTCAGATGGATATATATATATATATATACTTAAGCTTTTCCATNATAATTCATCTTTTACCAAGCCTTAATTTAGTTATGAGAACCACGAATATTGTAAAAAAATGGGAGAAACTTTGAGGCCAACTAACTACAAAAAATACAAGTAAAAATTATAATGACAAATGGACACCTATATTTATATTGGTATGACGACTATACACATATGCAAGTAGCTACTACGAAAGATATACATACATGCATACACATATATATATATATATATATGTATACATACAATAATATTAAGCAATATTATTCGCTCACTTAAATTAATTAAATTAATAATTTAAAATGTAAACAAGTTAAAAAATTTAGTTAAAATATATTCTTGAAACAATTTTGTCTACAGATATAAGGATTTCAATTGTTTCACCTCATTCTGGAAGCTATCAATTCTGCATCCGGCAACTCTTTTATTTCGTTTGTACCAAACATCTAAAAATTTTCCATTCATCTCTTTCTGAAAAAGAAATTAATCCTTTTAACTCACTGTCGTTTAACAAATGGGAAAATTCGAGAGAATGTTTCTCCCTAATACACTGTTCTTTTATCTGATAACGGGGAAAAAACCGTTTATGCTATATGGAGCAGACTGCAAGTAAAAATACGACTCTTTATGTGCAGAACCGTCAGTGCGTTTAAAAGATTCCATCTCCTTTTAGCTCCACTAATTAACCCCCGTAACTCATTCATCATTGTTTATTTTTTCTTAATATATATATTTTCCACTTAACAAATATTAATTTTGCAAACGAAATATAATATTACTGTAATTTCGTGCAAGAGAATTTTGTCAATCATTGCAAAATGAGTAATTATCTGGATTTGTAAAATAATCGTCTATACTTGAAAATATACTTGAATGATGAACTTTATGAAGTCACCTCACTAAAGGCAGACCTAGACCTAGGTAAAAGTGTTGCAAAAGTCACGAAGCGTTTCAAAAGTCACATGTCACTAATGAGTCTCAGTGACTGTCGCATTTTCGTTGCAATCAAGTAACGGTATTATCTGGTGGACAATATTTTGGTCGATTACCGAATTTTCGGCTAACCAATAGTGATTCAATTTCAAACTTGAGAGCAAATAATAGATATTGAAATAAATTTTGGGGACATAATCTGGGGGACGATATTTTGGTCGATTATCGAATTTTCTTCAAACAAATAGTGATTCAATTTCAACCTTGATAGCTAATAATAGATATTGAAATAAATTTTGGGGACATAATCTGGGGGACGATATTTTGGTCGATTACTGAATTTTCGACTAATCAATAGTGATTCAATTTCAAACTTGAGAGCTGATAATAGATATTGAAATAAATTTTATTAGTTTGTATGTATTTTTAATCTAATAAAATATCTAGCATTTAAATATTAAAAAAATTTAACAGAAAAATCTCAGATTGATTTTTAATACTTTTAGTTTATTCAAATAAATAAATGCATATTTGCTGTCATATAAATCTGAACTTGAATGTGAAAATTTCCGAATAAAGTTTTAAAGTTTTTTTTAAATCAGAATTTGAAATGATACTCTTTAATTCTCACATTTGGGTTTTTCTAATG